TTATAATAAAACAATGTCTCTATAACACATATTGAAGTTCAAAACCCGTTATTTAATTAAACGTAGGATATTTGGATCACATAGGTATATTTTCTAGACCATATTTTGTTTAGGGGCTAAAGAGTTAATGTTTTCAGAATCATCGCATATTAGAACTTTCACGAAAAAAGTGTAAACTTTTTGGGTTATTATCATGAATATGAATAAATAACTTACTCGATGCGGTCGAAAGCCTGCACTATGCTAAAGTATGAGTTCTTATGTGGAACTTTGTCAACGTAGGCCGCGTTCAACTTTAATATAATATTAATATTGTATTTGGCTCTTGGTCCATTACTTACTCCGCAGACCGTAGGAAATTTGTTGGAAAAATTTCAGTTAACTTTGACTTCACAAATGACCCATTCGGTCACCCAGATGGATAGGTTAATGGTGGCAAACTAAATGTCACAGCAAACAATGTTAACTTATTAAGCTGGTTTCATCCCATCATTTCAACAAATTTCATTCTTGGGGACGACTTAACTATTTAGAACATCCCTATCAGCCCTTTTACACCTTCTGTAGGGAAGCGATGTAAATCACGTCATAAAATATTTTTAATTCACCAAAGCAGAAGAGTCGATGATAAGTCGTCTTTCTTGGACATCGATCGTCTTTTATAATTTTTTTACGCTTATCGTTAGATTGAAGTTCTACCCATTTGATGCTATGTTCAGAATTACGCGTAGCCAAAGAGTGCTCAATAAATTGTTTAAAAATTTCCACAAAGTTACACAATAATGAACAGAGCAGCAGGAAAAGTTGCATAAGTTACAAATATTAACGAAAAGAATTACTCTGTTTACATAGAGCTTTGTAATCTGTATACGCAAATGCAATAAACTATTAAAACTTTTGCTTTCTACAATTTGAACTTATCGCTATTTCAGAGCCTATGTACAGAAAGTATTAATAGAAATATGATTAATAATCTATACGCTCCAATGATCCGAGCATTTGATGATAATCTTAGAAGAGGTTTTGAGACATCTGATGTTTACATATTTACAAAAATAAATATTAAACTTTTCAATAAAAATAGAACAGAAAAGTTATTTAATAAAATGCAAACGAGTTTATTAAAGTGATTCGAATGACCTTCGGAAAAAGTGCATTAAATTCGTCTAGAATTTGTGAGGTGGACAATAATGCGTTAGAGAATCGAGCGAACCCACACATTATATTATTTATTGTTTTGTCCAATGTAAATAACATTATATATTAAACGATATTAAAGGATTATTGCTGCACTGGTAATAAGCGACGTACTCACTCAGTGTACTGTTCGCAGTGTTCCCATGATGACATGATCCGTTACATTTATAAAACAGTGTACTCGCGCATTGCACGCTGTAATGTGTTTGCAAAACATTTTTCCGCACCTAACTATACATCTGTCTATCTGTCCTCCGCCGTTATCACATTCACTTTGACAAAATGTGATATAGAAACCGATAGATTAGTACCTTTAGTTAGCACGGGTTAATTGCTCACAAAAAGCAAAAACTCGAACTTACAAATATTACGCAATTAGAAAGTAGATATTAATCTACGATTTGAAAATTTCTACCAAGCCTTTCCGAGCTTCACTCCAAGATGGCGTAATCCGTCGCAAAAAAGTGGAGCACATACAATCGATAGATATGGTCTCCATATGTAAACTGCAACCTATTAAAGGTGTTAAGTCTTTGTAAAAGTAGTTCCTCGGGACAATGCAAAATATTTCCTAGCTCACATTCAACTAAACTAAAATACCCTACAAATATTATATTTATTTCAAGGTTATTGTAAATTTCTTATACCGATAAATTAGGATTTTTCTTTCTGATGTCGATGTAAAATCGTCAGAATATCTTATTATCAAAGATACAAAAGTTATATTCTCAACGAAAGAGGACTAAGCTTAACTACTTGAAAGGCCGAAGATCAGTATCTGACTTTTTATGAAGTCTTCTGAGCTATATGGATTTATTTATTTAGGCATAATTTCATTGCATTCATTCAGGGTGCATTGGTGAACTTAGCCAATTATGAATTGGTCAGCTTCTCCTAGCAAGCCCGTAATTGGTGTTCAAAAACACGTAGCAATTAAAAATACTATGAACGAATTCTATAACAAATGTTTCAACTTGTAAATGACGTTCCTCCTTTCTCGCAGTAATAAGCTGCCAAAGCTTCATTTATTCGAATTAATATAAAGCAACGAGAAGAGCATTTTTTTTTCCTAGATTTATTTTAACGAAAAAATCGAAAGTCTTATCAAAGAGTAACAAAAATTCTTAAATTTTTTGCACTGCTTTTTTTCTACAAAGAAATTTGGTTTGCCAAATAATTCGGATATGTAGATATTCAAATACATATCTAGATACATAGATATGAATTTATAAAAAAAAAATTCATCTTTAACATAATGTAGCTTCATGACCTCATCCTTCTATTCATGATCCTTATCAACAGCAACTTTATCGAACAAAAGATCCAGTCTAGACTCGATTGTAAGATCTTTCTTCAATTCCTCGAGTATTTCAATGAATACAGCGTATTTTTCTAATTGTTCCTCAGTGAAATCTTTTCTAACTTCTTCAGCTTTTTCAATGAATTCTTTAAGAAATTCACTGCAACGTTTTTCGAATTCTTCACCAAATTCTTCCATGCCGTGTTTTTTCAGATAGCCATCAGCTACGACAACTCCCTTAGAAGGATCCTTTATATTATCAGCGTCATACTGCTCCATTAATTTGAAGAAAAACACTAAAGTAGTTAGTTTTTCTTCAACATTGTCGGCATTCTTAGCTTTTTCTAAATATTCATGTAGTTTTTTGACAAATTCCTTAACATCCTCATCCTCGTTCTCCGTAACATCCGTGTCGGCGAGCAAAGCTTCACTCACTTTTGTAGATTGTTCGTGGAAGTATTCATATAACTTTTTAGATTCATCTATAACAAAAAGTATATATTTGTCTTTAACACTTAAGTCATCTTTGTCGTAATCGCCTTTAACCAGTTGCTCAATTCTTGCCGTCATTTCTTCATCAAAAACCTCCGGTTTGGCATTTGCATCAGGTATCGGTATAGCTGAAGAATACTAAAAGGATTTTTTGTTTTCCTCTTATAAAAATTTAAGAAAAAAAAAAAAAAAATATAAAATCACAATAAACTTACACGAGCTACAAGGATTACCGCAACGATTATAAATTTTAAATTAAACATATTGAGAACTAAGCAATCAGACAGTTGATTAGAACTAAACTCAAATAATTTATTAAAAAAATTTTGCTTTTATGCAAAAATTCATGCTTATCAGTGTTTTAAAATCCAAATGTAAAAAAAACTATTTGCATATATAACACTTGGTAGTTTTTACATCAATAATCTGAGCCTAAGATGATAAGCGCAAAACACATTTCCAAACACCTGATAATGCATATTGAAAAAAAAAAAAAAATTAATATACCTCAAGGTTTCATTAAAGTACACTCATAACAATTGAAAAGCGATTACATCCACTTTTATATATTATATTAATATATATGTATATATATGCACATATATATATATTCTTTTACATAAGATATTTTTTTAACTTAATTCGTATTGAATGAATATAAGCAGAATAAATCGGGCGCTTCTCTTGCCGTCATATTTCTTTGAAGGTAGATAGTAAAAACTGAAAAACTCTAAAGCGGACTTCATTTCTTTCAGGAGTTTCCTTTTTTAAATCGCTCGTTGCATTCCCTTAACTATCCTTAGGCTGAGTGGGGTTATATCTTCGGGAAAAAGATTACTCCAAGCAAGAATACAATAAACAAATAGAAAATTCTATAGCATTTTTCATCAAAATTCAAGCGTTTTGTTTTATACTTTAAATTTATTTTATTAAGCTATTCCTACTTTTTTTAATAAAACCATTATAACATTTCTGTAAAACTTCCGAGATTTCTGCGCAAAAAAATTAAACATTTTTACAAGCCTTCGTTGGTTGGTGTCACCTTTAGGCTATTAAGAGAGTTGTACGAGAGTTGGGCGCAGCGAATGATCGCCTCGAACGAAGCGAGGTTTAAACTATACGAACTTAAACTATATTAAAACTTCTCAGTCAAACTCTCTCTGGCATGACGAAAGATGGTATCCGCCCTATTAATCAAACCAGGACGCGTTAGCTCAGTTATGCTTTTTCAACGTAGTAATTGCCGACAGCAGAGCATCTAATGCTGGCTTGGGATTTCCATTCAATCCCACCAAGGACAAAGCATTACTTCAAGCATTACCGGTAGTCCCGGGTTTGCTATCCTTTAGGCATCTTCATGCGCATGGAAAATGGTAGCGAAAAGGTAACATACAATCACAAACTCTCGACAGCTTATATACTTTTTGCAGAGAAAATGTCGCAAGCGAAAATGTGCATCATAAGTGATTTTCAAATTTTCGTTGCGAAAGTTTGCAACCCTACTTGAAAAGTTAATTCAAGTCTGAACGGGTAATTGCCCCTAAGTTCAACATGGACGTGGAAATTCAATTAAAGCAAATACCTCTTTTCAGCTACACCTTAGAGATGAATGATTTTATGGGCTTACCCTACCATTACCAGAATTAATAAACTAGAATTCATTTCCTATGTCCATCCAAAAACGGTAGAAGGTGCTTATCAAAACTACGAGCGGATTCTCGAGAGAAGAATGGCTTAATTCAACTACTTAAGAGGCTGCAATTAAGAGTAACTTGATTTATTTGCACACATTTAACTCATAGAGTTTTCAAGATAAATGTCATACGTATAAAATAATTTAATACATTAAATAAATAAACAAGTAAATAAATGAATATCATTTATATATATTTATATATGTGTGTAAATACCATGTATATATATGTGTAAATGTTCGTGTGTGTATATCACATATGATACTATTTTATTTACATATACATTATACATTTTATTAATTTCATCCCTATTCCACTGGTAAGATGAGTCAATTATAAATTCCGTAGGGTTATCAGCAATTCAGCAACAAAACCAAACTTCAATCTTCAAAGTTATTGAATAAAAATCCCCGAGAAGAAATCTACAGCAGAGCTTACAACATATAAATGTGTTTTGAAAATAATTCCCCCTTTTCGAAGTAATGCCTGTCAGAGTTTAATTCATTTAAAACGAAGACAATTCAGCATTTTTTCTTTCAAAGATTTATTGTAATAAAATTTGTAAAGTCTTACCAAGAAGTAATGAGAATATTTAAACTTCTTGTGCTAACTTTTTTCAACGAAAACATTGGCTTTGACTTATAACAATAGGCATAGTTATTTTACGTATGTCTATCCATAGGATAATCAAATAAATGTTTATTTTTTTATGTTCATTTTCCTTTTATTTTAAATATTAATTTACCTCATTCATGTAATAATAATAGGGACATCTTTGCGGCAAGCTGACATAGACATTTTTTAAGATGATGATCATGATCACTGAATTTTTCTTGCAATAAATTGATGGTTACACGAGGTTTATGGCATATTAAACGATTTTGTCCATCGTCGATGTCGAAATCAACTAATTTTTATCACAAAAGATTAGTTATTATATTCCGATAGCATTGATCATGGATGATGATAAACGGAAATCACACCCAAAAGTTATTATTGTGCCCATGAAAATCTTTTAGAAAAATCAAAAGTATTTTCTTTATACCAAAGGGGCAATAATACTACGGTGAGGTTCACCTCATATGCATAAAACATGGCCGTGCTTTCATTGCTTTCATAATAAAATTTAAAAATTTCTGTACTTTGTACAATTATGTACGTATTGTATTCCATAAGTAATGGCAAAATTTAAGCAATATATATGTACATTTGAATATTGGACCGGTATAATAATTTACAATATATCTAATGCAAGCAATAAATGAATGTTATAACAAAGTGTTGTAAACAAGGAATGATTGAACGAAAGGTAAATATTTTCGATTCGAAATAAAAGTAAAATGATACAAGATATCGATACGATTTTGTTTTTTATTTTATCTAATGGTTCATAGTAATACTTTTCTATAAAAGTCATTTCATATAAATAATCTCCTCCCCTGAGTTTCTGTAAAAGTGATATTGTGGAACATAAATTTTAGACACATTTCCACATAATTCTGGTCTTACTTCACCAAAAACACGGTCAGCACTGCTGAACTACTATTTTGAACTACTACTATTACTATTTTTGAACTACTAATTTTTGTGGATTTAAACGCGTTTCCTGAATAGCTTATGGGTTTTCTGCGTTTTAGTTTTGCTTACTTACAAAGCCATTTAAGTAGCAGTGAGCTGCATCGCTAAAGATGATTTTTCATGAAATAATCGATCTACATCAAGTTGATCTAAAGCACAATCTTTAAAATTATTCGGTCTTTGAACCAACTGCATTTTATATGTCTTTAAATTCTAATCTTTATAAAGAATATTCCATCTAGTGGCCTAAAAGAGTCTAAAGTCTTGAAATTGATCTCTAATTCACGATTTTAGTCCACATTTTGGTTCACACCACCGATATTTTCTGCAATGCGGTAACGGCTTAACTCTTAACATCACAAACACTACCATTTGACCACAATTCTCCAATCTCAATTGGAATAGTATGCTGTATTGGCCGATTGTGTTTCAATTTCGCGCATTAGGCGGAACGTGGCCCGAATAGATTCGCTATTTGTGCAATAGATATTAACAACTTCTTTACGCTGTTTTGTTACGCGATTAAAAAATAAGTGTACAGTGGCGCTGGTATGACCACCTGTTAACAAGAATTATCACCCATCAATGCACATACAGCATAACATCCCATCAATGCACACACAGCATAAGCCCACATAGCATAACAGCTACGATGATTACATAAATGACGAAGTAATATGAGCACTGAGAGAATTCGTTTATTTAGCTGAAAGAACACAAGTAATTTAATTTTTATTACTGTGCCTTTTCGATCTTCTCATTTCTCCTGTGCATTCGTCTAAAAAGGATTGTTGCCAAAAGATTTATGTGGTGTGCACTGAATTTAAGTTTTAGCATTTGAAATTTCAAGGTCATTCATTGCTCGAGAGAATCGTGTATTGATATATTTGTCTTATTTTAATCCATTTTCTATATCCATTAGTGGGTGGTTCCCACTGTAGCTCATCGTACATTATGCATGACATTAAGAATGGGCTGCAATGCTAACCGAGTTAGCCAAAAGGATTTTCTGGTTTTTGAGTTGCGGTCTTACATCGTCTTTTCATGATAATCGTTGATCAGCTTACAAGAAGCCTTATTTACCGCGAACGTTATATGCGTGATCATATAGGTATAGATATAAGAAAAAATGTGAATATAAATATGAAACTGATATATTCCTCATGTTATAAAAGGTGTTGAGTAACCCGCTCTGTGGACGTTTCTCCTTCCTATCACCAGCTGCTTCAGTTGCCGACTCCGACCAGAACAAGGTCTATAGATCCGCGGATAGGATCTATAAACGCGTTGCTCATTCGACACCGTGTTCCTATGCTGCCTAGAAGATGGAAATGAACATTAGATTGAGAAAAGATGCCTTTCAACATTTTCTTAATAAACCGTTATTTTTTGTGATTTTGTGTGGAATGTATAAAAGCGCGAACGCACGTGATGGAGACGAGAATTTGAAAAGTACATTTGCCTTGACGCAAAGCTTAAATAACAACAACCTCAAATAGATAAAATGTGACTGCATTGCATGATTCGCTGATTCGCTATAAACTTCTGCATCTTTTCAAAAAATTTCAAATCTTTTAAGAATCGCAAGCTATTGATGAAGCATTATAAAATGAAAATATATATCAAAAATATCATTATAAATAATAAAATTAATATATTCGAATTTGTTTTTTTTTTTTTTTTGCTTTGTTTGAAATGCAAGACATGGTGATGGCTGCCGAAAAAATGCAAAATTTGTATTACTTTTTAATCAAACCTCGCATATGAGCTACTTATGACTAATTAACAAATATTTTTATAATTATACGCAAAAAAAAAAAAAAAAAAAAACGACAATATACGTATGGGTTCATATAGATACGTGTACATAATAAACTGCTTAGTCAACAATGTTGAAGAGACACACATTAGTTACATCGTGGCTCATGTAAGTATAAATTGGTTTATTTAATAGTACGAAAAATGTGCAAACACCCACACATCCATACTAACTAACGGGTAGATGAATCGCAAACGGCAAAGAAACAAAGTTAT